AGCCCGTCTATCACTGAGGGACTGTGATATAGACTTTGTCCAATATATCTATGTGTATAGTTATATTACATACGTTTTAAAACATATTTTACTTACTTTCTTTTCATATTAAGTCGACCGAACGTCAATATCTGTTCACAGCCGGTAGAATATATATCATGTCATACGTTTACACATCGCCACCATGCTTTCCCAAGAATAGAATTACCTCGGGGTCATCGCGCATGACAAACACCCATCCTCGTCATTTCAGGTTTCACACCACGATCACTGGACACCGGAATTCATCTGCATCGGGAGGCAAAGTTTGCCATCTTTTAGCCACTGTATACCAAAGTTCACGATAACCGTTGTTCTATCACGATAATTCAATTCATAAATTTTAATTTAAGTAAACTTAACAAAAGTACAGAACATATGCTGATTAACATAGTTAAGTTAAGTTACATACGGCCGACATATGAAATATAAAATTATAAAAACGATGTAGAGAGAATGATTGATGGAAATAACATCACAGATGATACATAACGCTATATATTTAATGATACCATTGATCATCAAAAAAGCCTTATTGCTTAGTTACTATCATAGATGCTTCACCCAAATAAAATACACTACTTTCTATGTAAAGTTACCAAATTGAAAACGGTCACCTGCTAACCCGAAAAAATACCGAATCTGCCATATAACTACTAGAGGGGGGCAAGGGGGTAGCTGGTACAGTTTTACGGGAAATAAAAAGGTTTTTTTTTACAATTTACAAGGAAAAAAAGATGTTTTTACAGTTTACAGTGAAAATTGAATGTTTACAGTTTACAGAGAAATAAAGGTTATTTTACATTTTACGGAAAATTAAAAAAGAAAACATAAAAAAAAATATTATACGTACCGAAAAAAATGACACATTTTTACAGTGTACGAACAAAAAAATATTGCAATTACGTTGAACGAAAGTAACCCTTGCCCCCCTCCTACTAGTATGTCCAACAAGAAGTCACATTCATAAGTTTTGCCATATACCAGTTTATTTGGTGACACGCGAAACGAATGTAGTTATTATTAGCATGTTGGAACAGTGGAATCATACATAATATTCAATCGGAGATTTAACGGTGAGAAATGACTCCAGGGTAACATGGAGGTAAAAAAAAAGAAAAAAATAATTGATGTTTACGGGCTTTACTCGCCAACCGCCAAACATGTAAGCCATAGCGTGGGTTTATGCGGCCAAAGGTCACTATCTCGTGTCACTTGTTTGACTGGCGATCAATGCTTATCGTTTCTAACACGGCAGGTCACGAGCAGACAATATTTTCATTGTTTAGTTAAACTTCGTCAAGTGTTTGTTGTTTTTATATCAAATCCGGTTTGTTAGATTAACGCATATCTGCTGTGGTAGAAAAGGTTACTGTGTGCATCGGACTCACATTGTAGTAACGCCGGACACTAGGTCGTCGTAATTTCCCAAATAGTGGTTCTTTTTTATGAAATTCTTCAAAATCGATATATCACAATAGCTGAATGACTAAGGTACCATTATTAGGTCGGTTGTAAAAGTCTATTTAACCCAATTCTGTTAGATTACGCCTGCATGCTGGACCGTAACCAAAGCTCTCCAGTAATGGACCAGTATATAACGGTCCATAATGGAGGCGGACCCGATCGCTATCCATAACGCGTCGGACCAGTACTGGACCATAACTGGACCAATACTGGACCAGTATAAAGGAATTTGCGTGTGTTACTTCAACAACGTGATATATTTTTTAGAAAATGGAATTTTTCATCACTGTGTATTATAGTGATCTGATGATGTCATGTCTAAAGTACATACAAAAACGATAACGATTATAGTCGTACTCGTTATGGTTTGGACAATGCGATATCGCGAGCAAAGGCTGGAGTAACACAACGACTTGCATTTGTCTGTAGTGTTTAATTGTTCTGAAAAGAGATAATAAATCGGATAAGTTATCGGCACACGCATGCGCATTGTAGAGAATATTACGTGCGTCACCCAGCATTCAGCGCACTTCAGCAAACTTTCGCCAAGTTTTTGCCTTGGTGTATGAGTATTTTAGAGAGGCAATGTAAGGTTCCCGCTGCATATTAATACCGCCGTGTACAGGTCATTCGTGATAAGTTTACCTCCGCAATTGTTTTCAATAGCAATAGTATCGAGCTGGAGTCTCACGTTCCGACAGCAGAAGACACGACTGCATAGAACCGTGAGTAAAATAAGAAATAACCCGATTACGGATAGTGACTGTGTGTTTATGCCATCTTTGTGATAAACTTGTAACAGCTATCGTGGCGAACGGCCGTTAGTACAATATTGGGAGAGAGTACACAATTTCTAGTTATAGTTATCTAGTCTGCTTCTAGTCATCTGACGTCCGATCTTTTTATTCAAATGATGTGAAAGTGGTAGCTGGTAATCAAAGAGATTATCATTTAAAAATAATTTAAAAATATTATTTTCAAAAGAGAATCGACCATATCATCCGTTACCCACAGTTAACTTTAATTCAATTGTTATTTGTATCCATACATATTTACGCACGTGGTGCATCGTGCACCAGTCTGCAGTCCCTCGACGGAGGCGGGACTGTGACCAGTACAGGGGTATGGCATAATGTCATCGTAAAGTTATGCATTTGAATGACAGCATTTTCAAAACAAACCAGGTCAATTTTCCGACTAGTGTCTATTGTGTAAAATTAAAATGCGGTGGTTGTCGCTCTGCGTCGTGCATTTGATGTGAGTCCCATGCGATGTGTACAACGCGTGTAAATGCATTATTTGTTTCACAGTCTTGTGGGAGAGAGACTGTGTTTGTTTACACGAATTTCACACACGCGCCACGTTGTCCTATTTTCTTTTATTAATTTGAAATAATTCGAAATGTTGCCAGTATTGCCACAAAAACGTCTTTCATATCGGTTGGTACTAAAGACGGTCGCAATTCAACTTGTTTGATGGATTTGACCACAGCCCGTCAATGGAGGGATAGATGGACTGTGATTTGACCTTCTCTCGGTAGACACTGCCAATACTACCAGCCCATTTATTGGTCAGAAATCTCACAAACATGTCTGTACACTTGCAATGTTGTTTTACACATACAACTGTATTTGGTGATGGCGGTCTATTGCAAAGCGTGTGGTCGGTCTGCACGTAGGCGCCCAAGTAATCTATTGCAACACGTTTTCACGAAGAAAGAGTTGACTTAACGTCTGTCACGTGACATAATGCATGACAATCGAGTGCGTACATGATATTTCTAGCCATTTTATCGATCCCACGGCAGAATTCAACACTAACATTTTTTTTTTCAATCAAGAGACTGTCAATTCTTAGTTAAGCCTGAAGGAATTACTACATCCATTTTTCCTGCCGAAAGGAGAGGGGGTGATTCTATGTTTAGTCCAGAGTGAGCCCTAATATATGTTTTACATAATTGCACTCTTCGTCACAGTACAAACACTCACTTATTGAGAGTATATTATAACTCTAAACATACAACAAGCTCGACATTCTAAACCCTGATTGAAAACAAACATGTTTTTGTCATCAGCGAAATTCAATGTTAAGTCTATATGTGATTTGAAGTTTTCAACATCGGAAAATGTATAAGTTTTATTATAAATAACTTATAAAATACCAACGACGAGCTTACGTGCAGTGCGGGTCTCCCAGAGAGGTTATCACAATAATGGTATTTGTGTACCACTTGGCATTTTGATTTAGATAACACCGATGATAACAGCGCGACTGTCGGAGTAGGCATTTGCCAGGTGTGTGTAATAACTTAGTACATAAACGGTCCTTTTATGGTCTCCTAGTTCAAAGGAAGCCGAAAAACACTAATGCACGACACCTCCATTCTATGTGTATGATTGACACAGATACAGAGGCATATCAATGACCAGTTTGGTTGCCCCGACATATTGTGAACTAGGGTATGTGAATTTAGCACGATTGAGTTTATAATATTCAATATGTTCAATTATGTACTTTTGTGTGCATGTTTTTATTTAATTAGCGTAATTGAATCATGAATTAACGCAGCACATTTCAAGGGCATTCACGTCATAAAGGGGCATGGAAAATATTGGTATATATGAGAAGTACTTTAGCATAAAGTTATTTTACTATGATTTTATAAATGTGAATCCGATTTCTTTATTTTTTGGCAGTAATATATTTCGTATTTTTGTATAATGTACTGGTCAATGTGACCAAAAGCTGGGTATTTGTGTCGTCTGTTTTTGATGAAGTAGAAAATAACGAATTCATCTACTCCCATGTATTACTCACTAAGCATCGTCACCCCGGAATTACTGCTACAATTTACAGCAGTTGAAACCCATTAGATAAAAAGAACACATGTTCAATTCTTTAAAACTCACATCTTCAAAGGTGATCCGCTGCCACCATCCACCCACTTCCATGACGTACTCCAGCGCATGTCATATGACGTAGTTCATGAAACACCGGAGGGCATAGAGATACAATATTAATTGGTTGAGGTATTCACCATCTGATTCATCATAATGATGAGACCAGTTTGTGAAATATAATGGTTTGACATCCCAGTGTACACTTCTTCTTACCAGGAAATTAATTAACATAAGAGCCGAGTTCTCAGGCTATTCTTTCTCATTATAATGACTACCAGACGCAGGACAACATCACGGTCAATTACGTTGCCGGTGATGTTGTCAAATCTTTGACATCTGTGATCTACTATCTGCCGTGACGACTGTGACTTTGTGTCATTTTGCCTCGAACTGAACACCACATATGGTACTGTATGTAACCATCCTTCGGTATGGTAGACGATTATATGTTGGGATAGCCAAGCCTATGATGAGGTAACATGGGCGGTTATCATATGCTCAAGAGTTTTTAGAGAGCAACACACTTGTCATACAAAACAACAAATAAACGAAAACAGTATAACTTTCAGTGTTATGAACGTTACCAAAAATGTTCGCATTTCAACACGAGAGGGCGATTATAAAATTCGCGTGTTATAAGTTTTCGCAATACTAAGGGGATGCCTACTCTCGAATGAAAAAATCCAGTATTTAATCATTTTGCAATAAATTGTACTTGTAGTCAATATAAAGACATTAGGGCCACCAAAATGATAGTTTTATTATGTAAACGGCGGCCATT